GCCTCCGGAGGGCCTCCAGGGATGGGGAAGGCCGTTTTCGCCCTCCCCAGGCTCCTAGAAAGCCTCTGGAGCCTGGGGAGGATGAAAAACGGGCCTACTGGGCCCACTGGGCCATTGTGTGCCAAAAGCGGGGGAAGTGCGGGTGGGGTGTGTACACATGCATGGGGGATGGGGCGCATAGAATTATGGGTGTGGGCACGCATGTGCACGATCCCCCCGCGCTCCCCCCGCTTTTGCCACGTGATGGCAAAAAGGTTAGCCATCACTGTCCGAAACTATGGAGGATGCATACCAAATCTAACTGGAGTAGTACTTTCCAATGCTACTTGTTTCAATGGTTGAGCAAGGAGAAGATTCCACCCCCCCACCCTTTTTTTTCTTCAGGCAGCAAAAGAAACAAATCATGTCATATGTATTCAGACTCTATATACCTAAATGCTAGAACAATGCACAATGAATACATTTTACAAAAAGCAATTTTGTTTTGAAGTCTAAATCTACAGAAGTCAATGAGATGAAACTTTAGATGACAAACATATTAAACATATTCATTTACTCTAAATTTCAATCCAATCCAAAATAGTAATACCAATAAAACTCAACCATGTAATGCAATATTGTACACAATGTTTTTTTTTCCATTTTCTTCTATTCTTTTCTCTTGAGCTACATGAGCAAGTAACAACATAGGAAGACAAAAGGATATGTCATTTTCTGAGAAAGTGGTCTACAGGTCTAGTTGTGTGATATAGTTCTGTTGTAGTCCAGTTTTAATGTAATGCAGACAACATATCCCCTATTCAAAATCAGACTAGTTTAAGAATTCTACAATAATCCGGAAGGATAGAAAGCAACCCAAATAAACCCTGAAGTGTTTTTGTAATATTTAATCCTTCCAGTATCTTTTTGAAATATATCCAAGTCAAATAAAAAAAAATATTGTCATATTTAGATTCTTAAAAACTAGTAAGTTATGTTTTGAATCACACACACTCACACTCAAAAATGATGATTCAACTTCTTAGCCTGAATCTCTAAAATTTTCTGGATCTACAAGAAATGGGAACTAGAAAAGGGAAAATAGGCTTTTGTTATTCTGTGTAATCCACATAATATTTTGCAGCATCACATAATATGGGTACTGTAGTCCCAAAAGCATAAATGTAAAAAGAGATATATACAAAATACAAATGCATCTTTTGCCTTTTGAAAAAAAAAGGTATTTGCAGAATAACTCTAAAGAAATGTTTTTCTCCCCAAACTAAAGGTTAAAAAAGATTTGAACCCCAATTAAATTGCAAATAAAAGTGCTTGTTACTAGCAATATTTCTCTAAAAGGTCTTCAGTTTGGCTTTAAACCCATAGCGTTCTTTAAACAAATACTTGTCATCTTTCAATCTTATACTGAGAGTAGCCTCCACAAGGTAAAAGCAGTTCATTTCCATGCCTTTTCATTGACTCGTTATCATATAAATGAGGTAGTTCTCTTCTCTTTGCCTTCCTCTCAACTTAATCCATATAAACAGGTAACCTGACACCGACACCTCCCATTTCATCCAATCCAATGGTTTTTGTTATTACCTTTTCCAGCTCTAGTACAGGAGAAAACTGAGCAGACTTACAGAATAACAGATAATAGACCACCACAACCACTTAATTAAGCAGATGTGATAACTATACTATATAACAGGATGCAGAAAAACCTGTTTGCACATGTGGATCACTTTTAATTGAACTGAATACATCCCTGATTGTTAACAAAACATCAAAAGGTCTAATTTCAATATGTTTATAACATGTTTTCAATAAAAGCAGAACATGACAATACAACAAATCTTTCCCAAATATTAATTGCCTGACATGGCAAAAGAGCCTTTAACCATAATGAAATCAAGAGTTAAAACAACTAGAATACATTATTAAGTCAAACTCCATCCTGTAATTCTATCCATGCAGTTTTCTTGGCAACTTTATGGAAGTGATCTATCATTTCTTCCTCTTAGAATTTTTTAAAAATTGTCAATCTTGCTGTGAAATAATCAGAGAGCACCCATCCACATATTAAGAGTCAACTCTGCTTACTTCCAGGATCACTCAAGGACAGCTAGATTGCTGCCACTCACTGAGATACTTCAAAAAGTATCGTTTAACTAAGTGACTTCCTCCAAAGCATACAACTTGTAATGTGGCTTCCAATGAAACATCCTAAGTATGTTTTATCATTAAAATGACTGCTACAATGTAAACTTTGAATTTATTCCATAAAATGTATTGAGAAAAAATTGTATTAAATATAAAATTAAAAAGAATGAATAGAAGTGTAAGAGCTGAGCAGTTATCTGAATTCAAAAGGAAAAATGCAATTCAGGATATCCATTAATTCACATGTAGCAGAAACATTTTAAACCAATGTCTTTTCCTGGGTTTGTCTGCAGCTGAAGAAAGCAATTGCATGAGCCCAGGAAAAGACATAGCTACTTTAAGGTGTTTCCAATAGCTGCTTCTTGCATGCCCATTTGTATGCACTGAGACACATTGTACGTTTTGAATCCAGATCAATGCAGAGCCTAGGAAAAATTATGATAGGGTTAATATACAGCAGTTTGATATAGTGATTAAGGTGCTGGCCTAGAAATGAAGAGACTGTGAGTTCTAATCATGCTTTAGGCATGAAACTGGGTGTCCTTGGGCCAGTCATTTATTCTCATCCCAACACATCTCAAAGGGTTATTGTTGCTGGGGAAAATAAGAGGAAGGAGTATTATGCATGTTCACCACCTTGAGTTTCTTATAAAGTAATAAAGGTGAGATAAAAATCAAATAAACATAAACGTATCTTTATATAACGTGATTATACTAATAAAGCCATATCACATACCAAGGTTAATTTATATTATAAAAAGTGGTGCACAACTAAATTGCAGTAAGTAACTTCATGTGCTTTCTATTTGAGGGGAATACAACCTCCATCAACATCCAAATATGGCCAAGGAGTTTGAAAACTGTGGTCCAAAACATCTGATGGGTATCATTTATTGACTTCCTGGTATAATACACTGAAGATTTTGCAAATGTCTCAAAGTACAAATATATTGCTTCCTTAGTTAATACAAAATAAAAAATATTGTAACCTAAAAATATTAACATAAAATATATATAATTATTTTATTTGGTTTTCAGTTAATACATGCAAACTATAGTTTTGGATTTTCAAAAATCAGAAAGCCATTATTGAAGTTACACTGTTTTACTATTTTATATTTCTAAAATTCTAATTATATTACTTTTGCAAATGACTATTACTTTCACATGAATTAGCAATATCTAAATTTAAAATTATAGTCCACATATAATCATTTTTCTTTCCAAGTGACAACATAGCATGGAGTACATTTAGCAAGTATGTAAGCTAGGCATAGAAAGAATCCAGATAGATTGGAATTTTGATAAGCAAGAAATAATTTTCTACATTAATACATAACCACAAATAATTTAATATATCAATAGAGTGGTCTAGTTTAATTTTAATATTTAAGACTCTTTTCATACTTTAAAGTTGCACATTGGAATCTCTATATAACATGTACTATCACTATTCCTTTCTATTTTTCTGAATGGCATTCTGAACCTCAACTTCTAGCTTAATACATTTTTTTCCTATGAGAAAGGGGAAAAGGCAGTTTTACATGAGGTATTCAGGTAGACTATCATATTTTCCTCTTCCCAAAGGTTTACTTCAGAATTGTAAAACAAAATTGCAAAGTGTCTTCCTAAAATATCTTTATGATTTATCAACGTTTTACTATGCTACATTACCCATGTCCGTGCGGAAGTGGCTGCTCTGAGATTGTGATATTGCCCCATCAAATCCTTACAGAGCTAACTCAATATATAGATATGCATCTCTTGAACAGATAAAGTAATATAATTCTAGTTTCATTTTTAATTCTCAGTATAGCTATAGAAAACATGCTTTAAGGTAAAGGGCTGGGGGGGGGCTTTTTAATTTTTTTTAAACGTAACATTTCATCTGTCTTAATTTCGCTCTAGAAAAATACATTGTTTTTATATTATAAACCATTCCCAAGCCTTTGCTACTTATTTTCAAAATATCTTTTTTATCTCTGCAACTAAGTAATTAAAATTGGGGGACCCCAGCATGCCTTCAGGCAACCTAATTTTTTTTTTTTTTGTCGCTTCTTCACTCCCTCTAAAGAATAACGTAATCCTTGCGGCTGCTGCTGCTTCTCCGGCTAATATAATAGGACGCAACGCAACACCGCACGCTTCATTCAGGACAGCCATTGGGTCTTCGAAACGCATATAATTTTTGAGTATGTCTGCTATTGCCGTGGCACAGCTTCACAAAATAAGGAAAGGAAGAATAAAATAATAATAATAATAATAATGATAAAAAAAAGTCATGGGGATCTTTCGCCGTCTTTTGCCAGCAGACGAGACACCAGCTTATTAACTCTTAACTCTCTCTCTCTCTCTCTCTCCCAGTTTCTGGAGCAATTCGGATAAATAATCTTTGAAGGGACGTTGTGTTCCTCGGGGATGTGGGTGGGGGGGAGGAATCAGGAAATTCAAAATCGTCGGACCCCAAGGCAAGAGAGAGAGAGAGAGAGAGAGAGAAGGAGGGAAAGCAACGTCGATCCGGCCACTTCCAAGCCATCCACCAACCCCAGGCACCTTCCGCTGAGTTGTTGTCCCGCACAGTTGCCTTATATGTTTGTTTGGGGTCAACCCACAATTCACACTCAAGACCCGAGCAATCCGCAGAGAGCGCGGAGTGGCGATTTGGCGCCTTCCTCTCTTCTTTAACCTTTTACTTACTAGTATAGAGCAAACGACGTAATAATATTCGGAGCGGTAGGGGGGAAAAAAAAAAAAGGGTGGCGGTGGGGAGTTTCTCCCACGGTAACCTGACAAGTTTCTTTATATATATATATATATATATATTATTATTTTTAAAAGAAAAAGAGAGATTTCCTTACCTTCATATATAACAAGCCTCGTCCTTCCAGAGAACGGCAACGAAGCAACAAACCCAACTCGAAAGCCGAAAGGTAGAAAAAGTGGAGGGGAGGAGGAAGAGGGGGGGGGTATTCCCCCCCTCCCCCCCCAAAAAAAGGGCGAGTTCAAGCCCTCCGCTCAGTTCAATTTAGTTCTTGTGCCCACACGCAACAGCAGGCCGAAAGGAAGGGGGGTCTCCCGCAGCCGTTGCCCCCAGCGCCCCACTCTCAACTCAAGGCCCCCCCACATTCCTCCTGCAAGCAGAAAAGGCGAGGAGAGACGGAGGGAGGAGACGCGGAAGGCGACCGAGTCTTCCTGCCTCCCCAGCCACGGGGGGGGGAGGAAACCGAGCGAAGGTTGTGGGGAGGGGGAGAGAGGAGGGTTCGGTCGTCGCCTCCCTGAGGGGAAAAGCAGCCCCCCCCCTCGTCTAACCCCACCCACCCCCAAGGAGGATTTCTTTCCTCTTCTCTCGCTTCCTTCGCCTGGAGCCGGAGGGTGAGGAAGGAGTGGTGGTGGTGGGGGGGGGGGGGGGGGGGGGGGTATCCAGCAGGGGAATGCCCGTCGGGGCGGGGGAAAGAAGGTGGGAGGGGGGGGGGGGGGCGCGAGGATTGGCAGCAATCGCGGGTGCTGGTGCCGCCGCCTCCTCCTCCGTCTTCCTCCCCTCCCCAGAGCCAGCCTCCCTCCCTCCTTCCTTTTTTTTTTTTTTTCTCCCGCCTGCCCTCAGACAGGCAGCAGCATAGCAACCAACATGGCAGCTGCGCAGTCACCCAGTCGCGAGCGGACGGAGAGGGGGGGGAAGTGGGAGGGGGCAGCTCTCGCGAGAGCTCCCGAGTTTTTCTACCTCCTCTCTTTCCCCCCCCCCCCCCACCTTTCCCGCAGGACGTGCCTTCTTTCGCCGGGCCTAGGTTGCTTTGGATTTATATGTCTGCCTCGGAGATTGGATGTTGCTTACCTGAAGCTCCGCCTTTTCCTTTTCTCGGCCCGGCTCATTGGTTGACCAGCACGCCTGTTATTGTCTGAAGAACATTTAAATAAAAAAAACCTTTACCTCGATCCAGGCCCGGATTTACGTTTCGGGCCGCTCGGGATAGTTTTGTGGGGGTTGTATCATTTGGGGAGACCGTTGAGGGGGGGGGGGGGGAATAAGGAAAAGGGAGATTGAAGGCGCTTGTATTACAGAGCAGAAGTGACATCTGCTGGTATGTCTGAAGAAGGGGCGACTCTTCGAAAATGTGTGTTTGTGTAGATCCGTGTGTTTAACTGTGTATCGTTACGTTGTTCGTTTCATTCTGGGATGGTGGGTTGGTGTTTTTTTTCAAGTAAAAGTCTAAAAATTTAGGAAAAGCAATTTAAATCTATCCATTATTTCTAAAAAATAAAGTTCCAGTTTCAGTTGAGTATTGGTCTTTGAAATCCACTGTGTTAAGAGTATGTATTTGAATGCAATTTTTTAAAGTTATTTTATATGCCCATGATCATTTCCTTTCAGGATTAATGGATAAACAGTTTAAAAACAGCCATGGACTATTATTTCAATATATGATTACCGCAGCGAAATTATTACAGGCACAGAAATGGAAAGATCCGACTCTAAACGCTGGTTGGCGAAGTCACAGGATTTTTTTGAAAGGAATAAATTCTTTGATTAAGGATATTATCTACATTTATCGATGACTGGAAATCTCTTACAGACTTTTTGCATGAAAATGAAAAAATGGAACTTGTGATGTATGGTTTTGATGATTAGACAGTTTAGAAGATTATAAAAATAAAAATTATACAATGTAAATTGGGGGAAAGAAGTTCAAATACAGGTAGTCCTTGACTTACAAATACAATCGAGCCCAAAATTTATGTTGCTAAGTGAGACATTTGTTAAATGAGTTTTGCTCATTTATAACCTTTCTTGCCACAGTTGTTAAGTGAATCATTGCAGTTATTAAGTTAGTAATAATGTTGTTAAGTGGATCTGGCTTCCATATTGACTTTACTTGTCCGAAGTTTTGAAAAGCTGATCACATGACCCCAAAAAATGGCAACTGTCATAAATATGAACCAGTTGCCAAGCATCCAAATTTTGATCCTATGAACATGGGGGATGCTGCAATGGTGGAAATTGTGAAAAACAGTCATAAGCCACTTTTTTCAGTGCCGTTGTAACTTTGAACTGTCAATAAGCGGACTGTGGTAAGTCAAAGACTACCTGTATATTTGTATAATCTGCTGTGAAGATTATAGGAAGCCACTTCTTTACATCTGGCTTTTTTTTCTGTTTCTTCAACTTTTTCTACTTTTCTTCAACTTTTTCTGTTTCTTCAACTTTTTTCTATTTAGTATGTGTTTTGTTTCTTTTTCTCTTTTGTTCCTTTGTTAATTTTATCATGTTTAAAATATGCATATTTATATACGTAAATATATATAATATAAATATATAATGTAACACATTAACAGTAGAGAAGTAAACACTTCATGATGCAGTCCTATAGTCTTTAAATTGTTTAGAATTCTGAATCTTTTTATGTATTAAAACCTGTGTCTTTCTTGAGTAGACACTTACGGGATTAGCCCCAGGACACATAAATTAAGTCTTCAGGGGATCATTTTTATGTATGCAAAACTGAGCAATGAGGGCACCCGCCCAATACATGCAGCCTCCTCTTGCTTGCACACATACACATCATTTCCTTCTGCTCTTTTCTTACATAGATGAGAGCAAAGGTTCCTTCTGCAGACATAAATATAGTGTCTTTTTCCATTCATGGATGCACACACTCATAATTTCATATGGATGCAGAGTCTTTTTCCATAATAAAGGACAACCTTTCTCTTAATTTCTTCATACTCCTAATAATATATATATATATATATATATATATATATATGGTACATATGCACATGGCACATGGCACATGGCAAAAATAAGCTAACTTCATGGTAGCTTCATGGTGCTTCAAGGCACTCCTAGTGTCTTGGGATGATGCCACCCACCTTCACTAATGAATTTTTGTCTACTGCTCTACAAATTCTCAGGTGGAAGATTTGTAGCTGAATCAAAAGATACTTTGCAGCATATCTGTTTTTCTCTTCTTAAAAGGATTTTCTGTTGTAATGGGGGGGAGGGGAGAAGAGGTAGTGAGAGACTATGATATTGTTGAAAATGGAAGATGAAAATGCTTGGAGCCCTCTCCTTGCCCCATAAAGGTCCTTAGGGTTCTAAAGACAATTGCCAATAAAATTCACATCCCAAAATACCCATGATGCTTGGGGGAGGGTAGTTTCCCCGGTAATTACTTCAATGATAGGTAGAGGCAGCTGGACAAAAAACCTGTCCAGTATGCAGAAAGAGGTAGATCAAAGAGGGAAAATTGTGCATAAAAACTGTGTGTGTAATGAAGAATTGCAGACATAGATGGTGCAGATTGTAATGGTTTAAGGGGAAAAGACAAGGAGAAAACATAGAATGCTGCTGGACAACTTTGAATAGGGAAAAAAACACCAGTTCTTTACTTCGTTGGGTTTGGAAGAGGACCAGTACCTAATGGAGCTCTTGAAACAGCGAAGCTATGACCAGGTTAAAAAAAAAAAATCTTGGCAGTTGTGTTCTATACCAACTGAAGACCCCAAACCATTTTCAGAACTATTATTTCTAATGTGTTACTTAAAAAACCCACCAGTTTTACAAGGTACTTATAGGGAATTAGCTAGAGAATTATCAGTGCTTCTTGTGTTAATATAACATTAGAACTGTGGAATGTGATACATGAGTCATTTAAAAGGTTATGAGTTGTTTAAAAGATTCTTGGAGATTGCAAGGTATATATCATATCTTTTGGTAATCGAAAAATCCCTGACATTTTCTTCATAAAACTTTTTTAAAATTGGAAAATAGAGCAGTCAATCATAGGAAACTCTGGTGATACGGTAGTATATGATTTCTCCCAGCACCACAGTTTTATGTTTTTGAAAACCTGTTTATTTACTTACATCATTTCTATACTGCTGAGACTCCAAGGTCTCTTGACAGTTTACAGAAATTACTCATGAAACATAGAAACATAAAAAAAAATCCTATCCCTAGCAACATCCAGCATTCAGTAATAACTCCCTTCTTTCTCATCATTAAAAGTTCTGCAAGGATGTTAGGGAAGGCCGGGTCCTTGGAGATGTATTCCAAAATACTAGAGCATATCTAGAAAAAAAATACCAAGTTTTAGCCCTTCTGATTTCACTGGCAAGGATGCTCAGTCAGCATTCTCATTCTGGCTGAATAAACCAGACCAATAAGTTTTAGCAAAAGCAGGCAGTTCTGTGCATACGGAAGCACCAAGGTGTGAAGTTTAAAACAGGCATTTCAAATTGTACCCTGAAACCTATTGCGAGCCAATGCACTGCTCAGAAAACCAGAGTTATATGGTGCCGATGGCTCTTAAGTTTATACAAATGAGCTACTGCATTTTGTACCCACTGCAGCATTTTGGTAAGTTAAATACATTGCAGGAATTGATGCTCTAGTTGAGGCTATAGTTGCTATCTCGGCACAAAGAATTCCACATTTATTGATTCATTTAGTACACTCACTAAAAATGAGAGAGAGCAGCCTTAATCTAATAACTCTCTACATGACTGGTCAAATTTGGCCTTGTTCAAATTCACTCAGTAGCCTTCAAAACAAAAAATATGTGAAACTGGGTTAGGTTTTGCAAATGTATATTCACCAGCATTCTACCTGTTTAAACGAAACAGCATTATTTGCCATTGAAAAATAATAGCTGTCCTGCATAAAGACATTAATAATTAAATTAAATGATAAAGCTGTTGGTGCCCTAGCTGCACTTCCTACAGTATTTGGAAGAGGTGATTCAGGTGCAAATGCAACTCATTAAAGCAGTTGTATCTATTTCAGGATTAGGATATTGTGGAGAAAACCTCCTTGCAGATGGTCCTGAGTGTGTGTGGTTGCATTAAGGAATTGCAGTATTGCATTCTGAAGGGTTCCAAAACATTTTACCAGCATAACCTTCTCTCTCAGATACTACCTTTCCATGCACTAGATGGAGAAAGCCAGATTTCTATAAAAAGATGTTCTCCACAGAATAGACAACCTGCATAAGCAGTTTAAAAATAAGGCAGCTATTGATGAAAGCTACTTTTTAATGAATTCCAAGCAGGGGTGGATTCTACTTACCTTTACTACTGGTTCGTAATGGGGCCGCACGTGTGCGCACACTCTTCTGCGCATACGCAGAAGCGTTTTCATGACATCAGGGTCAGTGAGCTGAGCCTCCCGCCGGTTTTACTACCGGTTCTATAGAACCGGTGCGAACCGGGGGCAACCCATCACTGATTCCAAGTATGTTTGCTGGTATTGGAAGAAATGTCCATCTGGGTTCAGTTCCAAGTGGGAAGACGCTGGAAACATAGAAGCTGTTTGGAAAGATGGTTTAATGGTGAACATGATCACATGGTTTGAGGTCCTGGGCAATCGAGCACATAGGAGAGAGAGAGAGAGAGAGAAATTTATACCCTCTTGGGCCCCGCCTTGGAGCTTCCTGTTCCTGTGAAAGAAATGTATTCTGATTGGTTGTCAGACTCCCATGGAGCCATGCAGGGGTAACTTTGTAGGTTGTCTTGAGTCCCTGGCTTGGTTGAATCTTGCTGGGTGATGTAATCTCCCCAGGTGCCATGTAGTGAGTTCTGTTGCTAGATGGGTAGAGGGCTAATCCTATCATGTCCTGAGGGCCATGTCTTATTCCCATCACCAGGGAGCTGAAGTGGGGAGCTGCAGGGTCTTTAAAACATGTTTCTCCTTTTCTCATCCAAGGCAATAAAATATTCTGCCTTTTTAATATTTCCTAAAATATTTCATTCTTCTAGGAGGGGGGTGGGTTCTAACTTTCTTCACTGGTAAGAACTCAGTTTAGTGCATTCTCTGTTGATCTTGTTTAACCTTACCATGAGTCATCCTTTCGGGCTAGTAGCTGGTATTTCATAAGCTAAGAGATATTATCAATTTTGCCCAACCTTTGCATAATGAATTAATATGTAGGCTGTTTGGAAGTGTTCACTCCTCAATGCCATGAGTTTTAGTTTTCAAGCTAAACTACAAAAAATGTAATTATAAGTAAGTGTATTAAACTCAGGTGGATCTTTCTGTATGCAAAAGCTGTATGCAAAACAGGAGCAAGGCTGAAAAAAAGTG